TCATCGGCAAACTACAGGTGGGTTACCCGGACATTGTTCCTTCCAATCCTCCAGCCTCTAACTTCCTCTTCCCTATCTGCTTTAGAGATTAATCTACTGAAGACATCTGCAACTAGGGTWAAAAGAAAAGGGGAGAGAGGGTCACCTTGTCTAAGGCCTCTACAAGCTGGGAAAAAGTCTTTCACCACCCCATTAACCAAAACGGAGTAATGGCAGGAACTAATACATCCCTTTACCCAATTGCACCATCTAGCTCCAAACCCACAACACCCTAGGACCTTTAGTAAAAAACTCTAATCCACAAGATCATAAGCCTTCTCCAAATCTAGTTTACAAATGAAACCTTGAGTTCCTGACTTTCTCAGGTTCCTAACTTTCTCATGTCCTCCACGCACTCATTTGCTATTAGGATCTAATTTGTTATTTGCCTTCCCTCCACGAAAGCACCATGTGTCCTCCATTGCATGGTTTTTACTCAATTTCATGTTGAAGTTCAAAATTTCCAATCGGATAATGCAAAGGAATACTTTCATCATGACTTAGCTAAGTTTTTCTCCTCTCATGGATCTCTTCATAGAAGCTCGTGTGCTAGAACACCACAACAAAATGATGTTTCCGAAAGGAAGAACCGACATCTACTTGAAGTTGCCTGTAGTATGATGCTTCACATGAATGTTCCAAAACGATTTTGGGTTGATGTTGTGATGGCCGCGGCTTATGTTATCAATCATATCACACCTCTTGCAATACAAGGCCCCACATCAACTTTTTCCTCAATCCTCCTTATTTTCTATTCCTTTATGTGTGTTTGGTTGTAAGTATTTTGTTCATGACCTATCTCCAAACCAGGGTAAGTTGGACCCCAAGTCAGTTTCATGTGTTTTTTTGGGTTATCCATCTTCTTAGAAGGGATACAAATGCTTTAATCTTGTCACAGTTTAAGTACTTTGTATTGATGGATGTGTCATTTTTTTGAATTTGAACCCTTCTTCCAAGCTTCTCCTCAGGGGGAGAATAGTGTGGATGTGGAGATGCAAACTCCACAAGTTTCTTTCCCCTCTATTTCTGACCCCTCTCCATTCAGTGTCTTCTTGAGGCGTTGTAAAGGACAGTTGAATTCAAAGGCTGTGGAGTAGCTAGAGACTATACATCCAACACCAACTGACTCCTTGAAGGAAAATCCAGGTACTCTTGTTCCCCTTGACATTATTGAACCTATTGCTATTGTTGATTTTACCAATGATCTTGATGCCCCAATTGCTCATAGGAAAGGAGTTAGATCATGTACTACTAAGCATCCTATTGTTCAATTCTTGTCCAATGAAAACATTGCACCCTCATTTCGTGCTTTTCTAATTGCCAGATTGCGTTTCCATTCCCAAAAGTGTTGCAAAAGCCTTATCTATACCTGGATTGACAGATGCAATGAAGGAAGAAATTTGTGCTCTACACAAAAAACAACACTTGGGAGTTGGTGAATCTTCCTGAAGGCAAGGAGCCAGTGGGTATTCATAGTAAAGCACAGAGTAGATGGGTTGGTTGAGAGGTATAAGGCCAGGTTAATTGCAAAAGGGTATACACAAGTGTATGGGGTCGGTTATGCAAAAACATTTGCCCCAATTATTAAAATGAACACTATTCAGATTATACTATCCTTGGTTGTTAACTTTTTTTTTATCAATAATAGATTCATTCATTTATTGAAATATCAAAATATTTACAACAAGGAAGACAAGAACTCTTATCTTCCGAATACAACTTAAACCCTCCAAAGAGAGAAAAAGAGAAAAAGAAACAAAAGAAACAATTAAGTTACAACTTAGCCCAAAACATTGCTTCCCTTTCTATCCCTTGTTTAGCTAATCCATTAGCTAAAGAGTTAGCTGATCTCTTAACCCAACTCATCCTGATTTCCATCTCCTGCACCAGCTACCTGAATTTCCTCTTCTCATTTCTGTAGTTCCATAAACCGCAATCATCTTTAATCAGCCACCTCCAAGTTCCCTTCAATTATGAGTTTCCTGACATTCATATCCTTGGCTTTCTGAACTCCTTCTATAACTGCYGAGATCTCAGCTCTAAGGGAATCCCCCACACCAATTGGGCCTAAAAACATGGCATAAATGACCCCGTTCTCATCCCTAAAAACACCTCCAATCCCTAATTGTCCCGGATTCCCCCTACAACTCCCATCAAAATTCAACTTTAAGAAGCCAGCAGGTGGGGGAGTCCAGGACACCCTTATTATTGGTTTGACCTAAGTGCAGTTTGCAATCTCGCCCCATTTTCTCAACATGTCTTCCACAGTGTAATTTGTAAATAGTTCTAGTGATTTCAGCCACTGTACTGCCCTTGTGTGGATCACAACCCTCAATTCTTCAGCCCCTCTCTCATTTTCTAAGAAGATCCTAGTATTTCTTTCTTCCCATAACGTCCAGCATACTGCAACCCTCAGACCTCTCCACATAGTCCTTCCCCTTTTCATGTGCCACCTGAAAAAGGAAGGGGAAAATAGGCTCTACAAGTTTGATGGAGGGTTCCACCTACAGCCAAAGAGAGAAAAAGCCCACTCCCAGATTGACTTTGCAAATTGGCAAGACACTAGTAAGTGAAAACCAGTCTCCCATATTGTTAACTTTGATTGGGAACTCCACCAACTAGACATAAAAAATGTGTTCTTGAATGGGGATTTGGAAGAAGCATACATGATTCAACCTCCTGGGTTTGTAGCACAAGAGTGTGAAGGGAAAGTTTGCAAACTAAAAAAATCTTTATATGGTTTGAAACAATTCCCAAGGGCCTGGTTCAGCAGATTTCACATGGCTCTTCAACAAATTGGGTTCAAGTAGTGCCAACCTGACCATACTCTGTTTATCAAAAGAAACCAGAAGAATGTTGTGGTATTGATTGTCTACATTGATGACATTGTGATTACAGGGAATTGGGACTCTGAGATTTAGAAAATTAAAGAATCCCTTGTGTGGTTTGAGGTGAAAGATCTGGGACAACTATGTTATTTCCTTGCTATTGAGGTTGCTTGCTCTAAAAAGGGCATCTTCATTTCTCAAAGGAAATATGTCCTAGATCTCTTGCAAGACACAAGAAAGTTAGGAGCAAAGCTTGTAGATTCCCCTATTGATGAAAACCATTGGCTTGGTGATTGTACTAGAGAATTAGTGATAGATGTCAAGAAGTTTCAAAGGTTGGTAGGAAGGCTTCTCTACCTATCAATGACTCGGCCAGATATAGTTTATGCTATTGGTGTCCTTAGTTTATGCATGCACTAACATCCTCCCATTTAGAGACAGCCAAGAGAGCACTCAAATATCTAAAGAAATATCCAGGAATTGGATTACTATTTAAGAAACATGGTCATATGAAAGTGGAAGTCTACACAGATGCAKATTGGACCAGAGCAGTTGATGATAGAAAACCAACTAGTGGATATTATACCTTTGTTGGTGGAAATTTGGTCACTTGGAGCAAAAAACAAAGTGTAGTAGCCAAATCTAGTGTTGAGGCCGARTATAGGGCTATGACGTATGGAGTTGTTGAAGTGCTATGGGTAAAAAATTTGATAGGAGAGTTGGGCTTCTCTGTTGATGGTCCAATGTCTCTCTACTGTGACAACAAGGYAGCCATTAATATTGCAGCCAACCCAGTTCTTCATGACAGGACCAAGCATATTGAAGTTGACAAGCATTTCATAAGGGAAAAACTTGAAAAGGGGGAAGTTTGTACTCCTTACATTAATTTCAAGGAACAACTAGCTGATGTCCTTACAAAGGGTCTTCACTATTTGCGACATAATGAATTGTGTGACAAGTTGGGCATGATTGACATATATGCTCCAACTTGAGGGGGAGACTTGTAACATGTTATGTTCTAGCCTAGGGGTATTTCTGGTATTTCCTCTTTTATTTTGTTATAAGTTGTCGCCTTAGTATAAATACAAACTTAGGTGCTGCCAGCCTACTACTTCAAAATAGAATTCTTCTTCCTCTCTTCCTTCTATTCTTTTTATCTTTGCTGGACTACAGGGACCTGAGAGATGGGAATGTAAAAACTGCCTAGGACACCTGGCCCTTGCCTTTGCAAGACAGATGGCTCTGACATCCCCAGTTATTTGAAAAAGAACTGCATTGTTGGCAACTGGTGAGTGTTGACAGTCTTAGGTAGGTGGTGTTATGGAGTGTCTAGAATGAAAGAAATACTGGAATTTTAACAATACGACACAAAAGGTCAACATAGCTAAAGAGGTAATTGAAATGATATTTCACATTGGATTTCTACAAGGGAGTATATTAAATGAGTAAGCATGGACTCCATTCTAAGGGGATGCCAAGTGATTGCAGATATTGTGCAGACAATAAATAACGTGTTTCATCAATGGGAGGAAGGAGTGATTTAATCTTGAAAGAGGTTTAAGAGGCAAGCAAGGACCTTCAGGAGTTGGGGGCATCTTTCAGGATCATACTGGAACCATTCTTTTGAAGCTTTTTGGGGCCCATAAGTGAGAGTATCTCTCTAAGGAAAGAACTTGTGGTGCTGCTACAAAGCCTAAAAATGACTGGCTAGATGGACTTGGAATTTGAAGGAGAATGTGAAATGGTGATGAAATGGATGACAGCTGTTGCAAAGGGCCTTCGGAGCTAGAGCTTTATTTGGGTCAGATTTGGATCAGGTCCAGCCTTCTTTGGATCCAATCCGATTATTGAAAACTTAAACTCAAATCCTATTAGATCTAAGGGTCTTAGATGGATCAGATTCAGATTTTATCTGATTCCACTTTATTTTCTAAAGCAGCCTTAAAATTATTATCAAATCATTTCTTGGTTTTAAAGGTCTAGTAGACAGGAGCCATGTTGTGGGTTTTGGATGCATCTTGGATGTTACTCTTCTGAGATAGGCTATATTTTGTGCCTGCAAATAATTAGTTATAGCATCTCTTTCATGTTGTCCAGTCTCCAAAAAATTTGACTTGTGCATTTTGGATGCAGCAAGTGGGTGATGATGAACCAAGATACAAGACGACTACAGAAAGTCAGTGATGATGTCCGAGAGGAATATTTAATTTATTGTCCACGAACTCCTCGGTAGGTAGTTCTTTTTCTTATTTCTTTTTTACTTGCTGCTGCTACTGTTGGTGACTGTCAATGAACGAAATTATATACTTAATGAGGTACAAATCCAATTAGCCTTAGAGGTGTTATTTATGACAGAAAGCTTCCTTGGGAAAATGAATTGTCCTTTCAATTGTTTGATTGATGAACACTTGTACTTGGGACTTTTGTCTTTGATGGTCCTTGTTCTTAGATGGAAACTGATATTTAGGTACCCATTGATAGACTTGGAGTTTCAGATACCAAATTAATTTGGTTCAACTTTGATTTTTTTTTTATTGGCTTAATTGAGGTTCTATTATTGTTGATGGTGTTTCAGATGATTATCTCCATGAATTCAAAGAAAGCATCAAGTTCTCAATTTCAAGTTGGCTGGCTGAACTTGAAATTGAGAACTTGGTGCTTTCTTTGAATTCAAAATATTAAAAATTGACCAGAATGTAGAGTTTCATCTGACATCTACTTGCTCTATGTTAGCTCTGATGTTTTGATATAGGCGTCTGTCTATTTTGAAAAGCTCTGACAACTGATTATTAACAATCACTAGTTACCTATCCAAAAAACAATTACTGGTAAGAGAATCCTGTTTCAACCTTAGATGTGGTTATACAATAGGAAAGGCTAAACCCAGTAAATTCCCCACCTTTTCTTTCCCACCCTGTTTTTGTATGTAATGTTTTGTCTTAAAAGGTTTGGTTGTGTGACCCAGATTAGCATTTCCAGAGGAGGATAACAGTAGCTTAAAGAAAATTCCAAAGCTTGAAGACCCTCCACAATATTGCAGACAAGGGCTTGTGGTAAAATGACTGGGTTAATCTAAAAATATTGATTGTTTAATTAGCCTGCTTAGCTCTCTATTCTGTGTAGGTTCTCTTTGAATTCTCATTCTGCATTGGGAATTTGCAGCCTAGGAGAGCTGATTTGGACATGAACCAGCATGTGAATAATGTCACTTACATTGGATGGGTACTTGAGGTGTGTACAATATTGCTGCTTTCCTTTCTCTTGGCCTATTGTAATCTTTTATGCTATGCTTTGTTCAAGGTTCAAACTATACCTGAGGGACGGTTGGCAGTTGCTATTAATAAACCCAATGCAAAGGATTGTCTTAACTTCCAAAGCATAGATTTGATCCTTGCCATCTTCTGATTGGACCCTGACACACTTAAGGGATTGTCTTAACTTCCAACCACATGCATGACGTGCATATTGTGTTCTTCTGATGTCTGCAGATGGCAAAATACTATCTATTATACCAAGACTGCATATTTCTTCCACTCAACTAAGCCTTGTACCAACTCTGTGGGGTTGGCTACATGCATCCTGTTTTGCCATATCTATTGCATTCTGCATTTATGTTGGTAATCAAAGAGTTACATTCTCAGCCAAAGAGTTACATTCTTTGTGACAGAGCATTCCTCAAGAGATTATTGACACCCATGAGCTTCAAAAGATCACACTTGATTACAGACAGGAGTGTCAACATGATGATGTGGTTGATTCCCTCGCTAGCATAGAACTTGGAGGGGGTGTTGAAGCAGTTTCGGAGCTTCATGGAGCGAATGGTTCTGCCACTGTGACACAAGGCACACAAGACTGCTGCCAGTTTTTGCACTTCTTGAGATTGTCTAGCAACGGGCTTGAAATAAACAGGGGCCGCACTGAGTGGAGGAGGAAACCGGCCAGATAAGTTATCAAGTGTATCCCCTAGCTCCCTTTCTCCTTCACAAAGTCTTGAAGGTTTTATTCTTTTTTCTTTTAAATCTTTGAAAATTTTTCTTTTTTCCTGGGTGATACTTATTAGTGATGCTTCTGTTGGGAGCAAGGTTTCGTTTTTACAACATTTATTGTCTTCCTTTCCCACAATCCCACCATCAGGCATGTGTTTTGTGATGTAAGAGGTCTGGCTTAGCCGAGGCTAGCATGTAAAACTAAATACAATCCCTAAATCCAGTCTCAGCACCTATTATCTTTACATTCTGCTTGATTCATGGTCGGACTATTATTTATTTCGTGCTGTTTTTCCAATTCCAGCCTGAAATGGCTTAAAGAGTTAAAAAAATACAATTTTTGTCCTTAATAAGACATGAGACATCACTCTATTTGGCTCTCTTTGGTCTCTTTCTTCTGTATGAAGAAGTGTTAGGGGTGCTTTTGGAATAAATAATCCCATCTTCATGAACATTTTCCAATCACTTTAGGTGATAATGTTATTATTTTCAGATGGCAAAACAAACTTCTCTCAGTGAAAAGCGGGAGTAAATAGGTTGCAAATTATAGGAGGTGTTTTAGTAAAATGAAAACTATYGGATAGATTTAAGTAGATCCATGAAACTATAAGGGGTGTTTTAGTAAATGGCCCTAAAAAAAATTTAAGCTTAGAATCATAAGAGGTGTTTCATTCATTTTTTTTTTAGATTTTTGAGAAGCCATGTCAGCTAGGCGATGYGGTTTTTTTTTTTCTTTAACTCAAAATCTGTTGTGGCTCTGACATGGTGGCAATAGAACCAAACATCGCCATAATTGTCTATGTAACTGCTACTAACACCAACGAATTTAATAGCCATTGGTTAGGGTTTTGACTCTGCATGCTCTAACTGTATTGGTTGATAAATTGGCGTTATACTGTTATCTAACGGCTCAACTATGCTTAAACCTCGATGTCGTAAAGAATACAGGTAGGGCATTTTTTAAACATTTATAGTCTAATATTTGCATTTGGTGGAGAAAGTTGAAACAGGATAAAAAGGGATTACTTCTTTTAGCTGTATCTCCTGTCCACGATGTTTATCGCAGTCACACATGGAGAACATTTCATCCTCAGCATAGTATTATGCAGGGGGAGATGTTTCCAATTCACGGGGGATAGTGTGTTGTGGGTGGACGTGGGTAGGAGATCCGGAGAACATCTCATCCTCTGCATGGTATTATGCAGGGGGSAGATGTTCCCAATTCATGGGGGATAGTGTGTTGTGGGTAGACATGGGCAGGGTTCTCATGGGCAAGAGATCCGAACTCTAATGATCATAGTTTTATTTGCACTTAATTGCCTGCCTCTCACTGAATTCATTTTTGGCCTGTTCAATTTTTTTGGGAAGTGGGAGGAAATTGGTAGGTCTCACGTAAAAGAAATAAATCCATGTTTGTTTTTTGTATTAATCTGCAAAAAAAAATAATTCCCGATTAGTTCATTTACCTTAACTCTCTTCAAACTTGGGTAAATTACTTACCCATGAGTATAAAAAATCTTTAATACATAATAGGATAATGTTGTCTCTTCAATAATGTTACTTTTTTTTTGGATAAATCGATCATCATACATTATTTATTTGGGAAATAAAAGAGTGTAGTAAGTACACTTATCCGGATGAATGTTTCCTAAAAAATACTTGCTTGTATAAGTGCATTTATCTAAGTAAATTATTTATCGAGATGCAAACAAGACCTTTGTGACTGCAAAACTTGACACTACCTTGAAAGATCCCCTTAATTTCCTTGCTATATTCTTTTTCTTTTGATAAGTATTCCACCATATTCCTTTCCCTTTACTAGAAATATTGTGTCAACCACACAATACAGTATCGCATCAAGCTAAACCCTGAACATGGAATGCAAGAATGAATAGAAGAAGAGACCGCCATGACTATTAATAGGGGTGAGCATGGGCTAGTTCAGTTTGGTTCAATGGCAAAACCTAGAACCAACCCTGTATGGGTTGGTTCCAAGTTTTTGGAACCGGAACCTACCCTGTGAAGGTTTGTTCTGGCCTTGGTAGTTTCAAGGTCGATTCTAGGGTCTACCCATGGAACCTATACTTTCTTTACTCTCCCCATTCACACAAAAAAAAAAACATGTGCTTTAAAAACTTGATTTTATATAGTTTAAAACTTATATTATCTTTATTCATTAAATTGGATAAATTAATATGCATACTATCATTATGTGGTTAAAAACTTATAAATTAAATTTAAATTTTGTAAGTATTACCTTTTACACTATTTATCCTAGACATTCAAATATTAAAATGAAAACAAATGATCAAACACTTAAGTAACTCAATGGTCAAGTAAGACTATGGCCTTTGTAACCATGAATGCTTGTGTTCAAATCTTAGCATCCCCAAAAATATTATGGGGTTTATTTCAAGGCAAGTCTGGTTCCAAGGTAGGTTCCAACAAAGTCGATTCCACTAAGGCCGGTTCATCAAGTTGGTTCGGGTAGAGTAAACCCCTAGCCCTTGGAACCGGCCTGGGTGGGGGTCAGATCCAAGAATTTGGAACCATGCCCTATCTTGTAACAAATTGGATAAGGTTGGTTCAAGGCCAATTCGAGGTCGGTTCCATTCGGTTCTGGGTAGAACCTCCCCATTTGCTCATGATGGTCTCACCAAAGTGGGTGAGACCATCATGATTTTTGAAGCCCTGAAGAAACCAAAGCCCTGATTTTTCAATCCGTCCTAAAATTATGACCTTTGTCGTTTCCAAATAGAGGGTTTTGGTGAGGTAATAAATGGCATTAGCTTCTGCTATGAAGGAACGACTATCTGGTCATGCTTGGAGATGAGGTGAAGCTCATAGTAGATCATCTCAATTTGGGTTTGTTCTGAAACGGAACTCAACCTTTCCACTAGAGACCTGAACGTTCGAAACACCGACAACTTTCAAAAGGCATCCTCACTCTCAAAACACCTGGTCACCTACGCAATCACCACCGTAGCATCTTCGACAACCCCAATTAGGTCGTCCTCCTTCCTCAGTCTGCCCTCCTTTGCTCCACCTGCTGTTGCAACTCACAGCTAGACCTGTTCATGGGTCGGGCCAGGCCGGGCTTTTACTCTTCATTAACGGAAAAATGTTAGGCCCGAGCCCGAGCCCAGCCCGACCAATGGGCCTACAACTTGGGCCCGAGCCCGAGCCCGAAGCCCGACCTAATAAAAGCCTGACCTGCGATTTTACATGTTTCTTGCTTCAATATAGCAGATTGGCTTGCTTTTCTGATAACTAATAAGTGTTGTTTCTCTGTCTTTCTCATTTAACAAGTGGAAGAAGAAGAAGAGGAAGAAGACAAACATGCTTACTGTCAGATTTTTTGCTGCCACCGACTAAACATTGTAATAGAATAAAGTGGTAAAGAGAACTCACCGCCGCTGCTGGTGATTGTATTCGCCGGAGAGTTCGCAGTGAGTCAGTGACTGTGGTCTGTGAGCTGCGAGCCTGACCTGCGATTTTGACAATGATCAGTTCGCGTCTGAGAGAGAGAGAGAGAGAGAGAGAGAGAGAGAGCTCACTGCCGCTGCCGGAGTTGTTGCACCGGTGAACGTTCGCTGCCTCGCCGATGAACGTTCACCGCCTTGCCGGTTGTGGCTGCTTGWGAGTGTGAGGATGAGAACTGTGGAGTGTGGAGGATGTGGAGATTGGAGAAGGGTTCGGCTGGAAAAAAAAGGGAAAGAGACAAAGAAGTGAAAAAAAGTGGGGTACTCGAACTGACTAGGGTTTTTACTTAGGTTTAATTATAGGTCGGGTCGGGCCAGGCTATTTTGGCAAATCCCGAGCCCGACTCAAATTTATTGCGGGCCGAGCTTTTTGACCCGAGGTTAAACCCGCAGGCCCATATACCTGTTCAAGCCCATTTGAGGGCCGGGCCAAGCCGTCGGGTCGGGCCACCCAGCCCATGAACAGGTCTACTCACAGCAATGGTAGTTTTTCTTCCTCCCCTATCTTTCCATCGATCTCCCCCTTTTTATCTCTCATTTCTCCTCTTTCCCTCGACTTCCATTCTCTCTCTCTCTCTCTCTCTCTCTCCCTCTCTCTCTCTCTCTATATTTTACCTAGAAGAAAACTGCCGCTACAACATTTTGCAATGGTGATGGCAGGTAGAGATGATAACAAGGGAGGTGAAATAAATGGATGGTTGAGAGAGGGTGATAGAGGGATAAAGAGTACAAAAGAATAAAAAAGAAAAAAATGAAGAGAGAATATCGAATGTTCAGGTGTATATAGATTTTGATGAAATATTAACGAATGCTAACAGTAGGAATAGAGTTGGTCAATTGTAGAAATAAGAATGGTTTAAGACAATAATTAAATAATAAGGGTACTTATTATTATTTAATAATATTTTTAATTTATTTTAAATTTAAATTATAAAAAATTTTATTTATGATCGATTGTATAAATTATCACACAAATTGTATGTGAAGTGTATAGAATCAATGGATGACCGACAAAGACAAAACACCCCCTAAATTATCGAGGCAAAAATATAAGCAACTAGGCTCCTGTCTTGTACAGTTGTACTATGTCTTCATTTTTTAACGAGTAATAATTTCTAGGTAACAAGGTTACATAAAAGGAAATAAATTAGGGAACATTCAAGGCATTGTCCAGCCTGATGCCTTGACAACCAGACATTAAAAGCATGGAGAATGGGATTCAAATGTACCATCGAGTCTAGAATATTTACACCTGAACTCCAAGAAATAAACAACCGGTTGTAAGATATAAAAGGCTCGCATTTCTTCTTTTAATCAACCAAGTAAGACAAACGTGGACCTCCAAAATAATGATTCTCATTCACGCTAAGCTTTACACAAAATAGATGGCGTATGAGAGACCAATTGACTGGCATGAAAGTAATAAATAAAACCCCCCAAAGCTTTACTCAACTATATCAGCTGAGAACCTATCAAAGAAAAAAAAAAACTATATCAGCTGAGAGACTCAGACAATAAAATGGGGGTCACTTAAAAAACTGGGGATGGGGGGACCTGAGAATCCAACTACAATTATGTGTACTAAGAGCAAAAGCTCAACTGGTGGCTGGAAGATAAACCCTTATCATGTCCTTCATTGTTAGCTTTCGCCTACATGTAGGGCATTTACTTTGAGCTTGAATAGCAGCCTTGATACACTTCTTACAGAAGATGTGGCCACATTTGGTTGACATCTCTTCAACGAGTGGACCCATGCAAACTGGGCAACTGAAGGTGGGTTCCTTTGGTGGTGGTGGCGCACTCGGTCGTGGCAGTTCTGGAGGTTTAACATCATTCTTTCTCTGCCATAACAACAATCGTAAATTAAGTCTTGAACAGTTGAACCTTAAAAACATCAGCTCATGCTACTCGAGAAGAAAACAGGAAGGATGGAATTACTTTTTGAACCCAGTCCACTTTGTTAGATTGAACAAAGAATATTGGTTATCCCAATCTAGTTGCAACAACAGAGCCATTGATTAGGCATCCACAATATAGGACGCAAATACTTCTTTTTGAAAGGTAGGATAAAATCTTATCAGAAAGAGAAGCAAATATATTGGGGTAAAACAAAAAAGAGGGCAAATCTCCTCAAAATAAGGAAAAACGCTGAGAGCCATCCCCTGGAAACATGAAGGTTTTCTTGGAAAGATTAGCCCCAATACAAATTTCTCCTCTTCACATGTGCCATAACATTAGCTGATCTATACAAGGACCAAGGGTTTAGATTCTATAATATGATGAAGCCTGCATGGCCCCAAAAACCCATCAAACCTGGGAAGAGAACCTAGGACTATAGTTCATGTGAGGTAATGGAAGGTTAAGTGAGCATCTCGCACCATCTCACACAATTCTAATGATAATAGTGCTCAAAAGTTCCAATTTCCCTCATGAGAACCCCTTGTGCCTAAATTGGGTTTCATTTCCAACCCTAAAGAGGATATGTTTTTATATGCATGTATTAATTTCGACAATCCAACAAAATTTTGGGAACCTTTTTTGATGGTTAACAGCAATGTATTAAATTCAATTTAAAAATGGGATCTATACTGTCCAAGATGGATAAAAAAGGCAATCCAAATACAGCTTTCAGCAGACCATGCTTGTTTTAAATCATTCCCAGGTCCCAGCATACCAGACACCTTTGCCTATCACCCCAGCTTTTGCTAAGCTGTCAGCTAATACATTAGCAGACCTAGGAATCCACCTAATCAGCACTTCATGCTTCTTTGTTGCTTTAGCTACTTTGTTAGTTAGAGGACTGAAACAGCCAAGGGGGTTCCACTTCTGAACATAACCATAATATAACTTATTTGACAATCACAGTTTTCAAGGCATCTAGGGTGATTCTGGGCGACACTGGGGTGCCTAGTCGCCCGTCTAGGCGATAGCCGATAAGAAATTTATAACATAAAGAACTTTTGGATAGCTCCCTAGTTTTTTATACCACTCAGCATGTATATTTTTTATCTATCCACTCAGCATGTAATCCTAATTGAAAATAATAGTAATTATCTTTCTTAAGAACATTAAATTTCCTCTAAAAATGTGGCAAATCATCACATCTAAAAGATAAAAATTTACATATATTAATTTCATATTTTCAAAAATAACCTACTATAATAAGTATTTAATAGAGCAATTTCATATGAATTAAAAGCTAAAGGCTATTAACATTATATGATAAATATTCACGATGAAAAGTAAAATAGAAAAAATAAGGATGAAATTTCTGTTTTATTAATGAGAGAGAGAGAGAGAGAATAGAAAAAAAAAAAGAACCTCTTTATACTTCTATTCTTTCTTTCCTCTTTCTTTTTTTTTTCTTTCTTTTCCTCTCCTCAAAATCTTTTGATCTTTTAAAGTATAAATGATATATATAGCATATAATAAATGTATTAACACACATATTAATAAGATACAGCAATATAAATGGTATTATATAAGGAACCTGCCTTGTCATTTTTGTCGCCTAGGCAGGTTCCTAGTCACCTAGAAGGGCACCTAGTTGCTACAAGTCAAGGCGTTTGGGCGAGGCACCCAGACAAGGACACCTAGTCGCCTAGGCAACACCTTGATAACTATGTTGACAATCTCCTTCAGTAGGTTATCCAGTTCTGCTGTGCTATCATTTTTCTGAACAGGAAAAAGAAAACAAATCCCACAGACCCTGAAAGCTCAACAAGATCCTCCTCCATCCCTTCCCAGTTCATCCTAGTTGCCAAGACTGCAACCATCAAAGCTTAGCTTCAATCTGGTAATTGGCCCTGCAAAAACTGAATTCTACTCCACTATTTGATCTGGTTGCCAAGAACAACAGGAAGCCAATGACTAGCTCCAAATGAAAGAAAAAAAATACCAAAACCCATTGCACTAAAAGAAATGAACATTTCATTGGCCATAAAAAACTTGCCTTGGTAACAGGAACATACTTCATACAAAAGGATTAGAAATGCAGCACGACCACTGACTGACCATATAGCATCTTAGACTAAAATAAATTTTAGACTATTAAAATTTGATGATAGCCAATGGAAAGGAAGGCAATATCATATACAACATGTAAGAGGTTTAAGTTATTACCTTTGCACTATGGCTGCCTTCCAAGTTTATGTAAAGCTCACAGTTAATAATTGTCTGGTTTGGTGGAACTCGTCTGCGCTTGTTGTAGCTATTAAGAGCCAACCGAGTGATTGGTTCCTCTACAAAGAACAAACGGAAAGAAAATAGATGTAAGATAGATGCATGAAACATGGAAAACAATGTCGAAATGGATTAAAAACATTTTGGAAAATAAATGACAAGTAATAAAAAATAGGCTAGTCTCATTGCAAAAATAGTAGTGAAGTACATAAGCACTTCTTTTCCATTAAGTACCAAACACTAAGATACCCAACAATCCACTTCATCAAGATAAATAGAGAAAACAAGGTTTTGGTTTTTCTTGCCAATAATGAAAGAAAATTATCCAAAAATCACTAATAAAAATAACAATAAGAAAAAAGCACTCAATTAATAACATATAAATAGTTCAGCAAGTTGTGTTAAGGTCTCTCTCAAGATGTCAATCAGCTGAAAATTATTCCCTTGGACAGGTGCACAATTCCGTGATCTGGGTTGTAAGTAAAGGAAGGTAACTGTTAACCACACCATTAAGATATTGTGTTGTTTTAACTTCACATGTTATTTAAAAACTTTCAGCCTCCAAAAGAGATATTTCAACATTACAAGGGCGTAGGCCATGTCATGCATTTCCCTCAGAATCTATGCTTTTGCACATTATGGGGAGTGAAGTGGATTTGCAGATAAAAGAACTTCCCCCCAAGCCCTGACCAGTTTCCTGGCCCTGATTACATTTTATGATCTGATTTCTTTAGCTTCTGATGCATCAATCTCTAATAAATCCCAGCCTCCAAAACTTCTTACTATATGGTATTATCTTCAAGGTACTTCAACTCATAATTGTCAGATCAGTGTCTTGCAAATAAGAAAAACCTCTCACATTAATGCAATAAGCCGGTAAATCCCAACTAAGTTCCCATCATTCCATGTCTTGTTTTGTGTTTTGTAAGTGGATTGTTTATTTATATACACTATGCAAAGACAATTTTGAGTTTGCATAACACTCTTTTTGTTTATTTTCTACCTCGGCTCAGCTTCCTAACTTCTATCGCGTGACATCCAAGAATCAATACAAACAACTACATGTGTGAAATAGCTTGAATTTTATATCATTCAAGACTATTATGGTTCTCATACTGTATTTTATCATGTGACACATACACCATAACAAATATAATCATGCCCAAAGATCCCACTGGAGTCGCATACACCATAATAATGCATAGCTAAATGTATAATTATTGAGATACAACTAAAAGCCAGGTTGGGCAAGATTGCCTTGCAGAGAAAATTGAAATTAAGACCTCATTAAGAGAAAAGCCTATATGATTACAACAACACACTACAAAACAAACAAAAATGCATAGGCATCTCAGGCATCCAATTAGATACGAAGTTTGATGCAAGAAAGTTACAAGGCTAATTACAAGGAGAGTTCTGGCATAGGTAACAAGATCCTCACACTACAGATCCTCTAAATTGCTCTTTTAGTCTTTTATAGGAACTACAAAAGAATATAACAAGACAACCCAATTGAAGAACTACCCTGTTCTTGAGGGCATCTACTCTGAGTCTGAAATACTTTGAAGGCGTTGAAGAAGTTGACTTTGAAAGAACTAGGAGACATTATAGCATAAAGGAGGTATTTGGCATAAACCAGAAACAAGGGGCTTGATTATGACATTGTTGTAAGTCATACTTGTGCAATATCTTGCATAAACTTTGAAGATTCCCTGGGGTTGAGAATAATGTCTAAGGTGAATGATACACCAGTGTAGGCTGGTGAAAATTCAAGAAAGAAAGATTAATAAACCAATTGAATATGACTGCTGTCAAATAGATAAGAGAAAAAATTCTAGATGCTGAAGAATAAAAATACCTGAGCTACCTTGATGCACTTCAGAATCTTCATCAAGAATTACCATTACCCCTTGATTCCTCCTGGATTTGTTTCTAGCCTACCAGAATCCAAAACTCATATTCACAGTTAGTTACAAAACAAATTCATAATTACAGCAATATAGCTGCCCGTCATAAATAAATGAATACAGCATACTTCAGCAAAGCTCCTTGGGGACGATATCAGAACATCATCATCTATGGCCTCAACATCAATTGGCGCGGGTGGCAAAACCCCTCCCCCTTGTTGACTAGTTCCTACATCCTGATGACCGACACCAGAAGATGTATCCTCCTGAGCCCTAGTTTCACCAGGAGGTGTATCATTGAGGTCGACGTCYAGTACCATCTTCCTCCGACGAGCGTCCCTCACGTACCCTTTCAGAGGTCGTTTCAACCCAAGAGTGCTCATGCTCTATCTATCAGTTCTCTTTAGGCTGGCAGCCCGGAAACCCTAAATAAGCAAACTCAATCCCATTAACGAGAATGGAATCCCATTCAATCTCTTTTAGAAATCTGCCTTAAAAAGATATATTTTGCTAAGTATCCTCAAATTCCTTTCTGGTTCATAACCAATAACCAAAAAAGAAACAGGCCTGCAAATCAGACGCTGTTACCAGAATTAAAAAACTGAAAAAAAGAAAACCATAAAAGATAAGAATATCAATCAATACTGAGAAGAAAAAAACAACCAATATTTTTTACAAAAAGTGTAAAAAAAAAAAAAAAAATGTAAGAAGCAGAAACCCCTAATCGGGTAAACAAAAATAAATAAACTACAGAAAAAGAAGGGAAAAAAAGTGAAGCTCGAAACCAAAAATCTACGCAAAACAGCGCGAGAAAAGCACTAGAATCGGAGAAGATGAAACTCTAACCGATCATCAAATGCAAAGGTTATAATCAGCAAAAGGGATTAGAAATCGAATGTCGTACCTGAAGAATAGGGAATCAATAGAAAGATAAGATGATTTTTTCTCCAAATAGATCAGAAGAGGCTCGTCTTGTCTAGGGTTTATTTTATTTTATAAACTAGGAGAGCGAGAGCGAGAGAGAGAGAGGGAGGACATCAGGACATCGAAGGACCTCTCCTTCCCACTGTGTGCCATCGTTTCGGCCACGAGTCGGCGAAACCAGAAAACGGGCTGGGGCCGCCACCTTCTAGTGTCACGTGATAGCATGTGACGGTATGAACATTCGGTGCCTACCAGTACCAGCCCGACGCTCCGCGTACCCGGCAAACTAGCATTGACACCAGTCCACTTGCATTGGGTCGGGCTACGATCCGAACCGATAAACGACGGCCCGTGGCGGCGAGAACTCGAGCCATGAAATCATTAATGAGAAAGAACAGACACAGCAACATGCCAAAAGCTATAACCAAATTAATTGAAGGGTAGAATTCGTACGTCAACAAGGCCCGCCATCTTGCACGACAGAGGAAAGACTGACTGTCTTGAGATCAACTCTGGTTTAAAACCCACCATGGATTTCACTCATTCACGGGCATCTAAGATGGTGACTTAAGCAAAATTTCTATCATATAGCATGCAGCAGCTGCCTTCTTTCTGATTCATCTATAATTGTGAGGTGTTTGCCTGTCTGAGTAGATGAAACCTTTCAACATGTTGTTCGTGAGGGTCAGGATATTGGAGTGGATGATGTTAACAACAATAGACTACTACTTGGTTTAGTCCAAAATGAAGAATGGAGATGGTGTATTTATTATTGGTAGGGTCTTTCCTCGACTTGCTATATAGCTTTGATGAATGCATGCATTATCTAGAGCCTTGCATGGTGTATTTGGGTTCAAGTTCATGACCTTCCTTATAACATGAGGTTGGTGGACTTGCTAGAGGTTCGTTGCTCTTAAAACAAGGCTCATTCATTCATTACATTAGAGTGGAGGTGGGGCTACTTGTATATAAATCAACCTTTAAAGTGCGGTGTGTTTGCTTCTCCGACTACTTTGCTTATTTTCCGCTACGAGAAGCTTCCAAGTATTTATTATGCTTGTGGTAGAGTTGGTCATGGTTATAAGAAGTGTAACTTTGTGTGCTTGCCGGAGGTTGATGATCTTGAGAGACTCCAATGCGTCAGACCAACGTTTGGGCAGTTTTTGGTGCATGGTGGTCGTATAGGGGAACCTGACTGAGTCTTTGGGGACCTTCCCGGAGTCTATGTGGGTGTCTGGAGTCTTCTAGAGGCAGAGGTAGTAGAGGGTGGCAGAGAAGGTCTTCCTTCTGACATGAGTAGAGAAGACATTATTATGAGGGCGAAAGATGACTTGGATAGAGAGACATTCTGTTAAACATCGAAGTAAATGTTATGTTTCCAGAAATTTTGTTCAGTTGATTTGCAGCAAAGTTTTTCCTCAGGGGCTGGTAATCTTTGTAGGTCTTTGGATAGAGTGAGTGTTTGTATCCTTAGTTTGGCTCTTTGCCTTTAATAAGATCTATGTATCTTTTGGGCCAAATTCGGGGGGAGGGGGGGAGGATCATCATATAGCTGAAATTAATGAAGATAGAAAAGTTAGACCTACATCTTCTCGTTTTTATAATATGTGGTTTAAGGGCTGGTGGGTGTGGACAAGTTATTAGGGATGCTTGGAATTTCACTTTTAATGGTTATGCTGCTTATAGAATTGGTATTAAGCTGGATCATTTAAAAAGGGATCTGTGAGTATAGAATATGATTTGCTTTGTTAGTATTCAGGATTAATTGAAGGCAATTGAAAATCAGATTCTACAGACTAAGGAAACCGCAGAAGTATGCAATACAAAGTATCAACTAAGAGGGATACTCTCTTCAATTACCTTGAGTCTTATTGGCATCAAAACTCTAGGCAGTTATGGCTAGAAGAGGGTGATATGAATACAAGCTTTTTCCATCATGCTGCTACTATTCGTCAACATAAGTGTATTTATCCTTTTGCAGAATGCTTTTGTTACGGGTAGAAATATAATGGACAATATAATTATTGCTCATGAGATTTTGCATTTCATGAAGAAAAGAAAGAAAGGTTTTGGGTATGTAGCAATTAAAATTGATATGATGAAAGCTTATGATAAAATGAATTGGGATTTTGTTATATGTGTTTTAAAGGATTTTTGGTTTTTATTTTTTCAGCAATTTTGTCAAATGATTTATTTTTGTATATCCACAGTGTCCTATTCCATTTTAGTTAATGGTGCAACAGAAGGACACATTATTCTAGATAGGGGGTTGAGGCAAGGGAAATCCTTTATCTCCTTATCTTTTTATCCTCGGCATGGGTGTTTTTATCTTGAATGCTTCTTAGGGCAAAGGAGTCAGGAAGGATTCATGGTATTAAAATAGCTAGGGAGGCTCCTTCTATTTCTCATCTTTTGTTTGTGGATGATGTGTTTCTGTTTATTAAGGCTTCTAGAGAAGAAGTTCATAACTTGTTAGAGATTATGAAGAATTTTTAGGATTTATCTGGGGTGTATTTTAGTAATAATCTCCATCATAAATGTAGGATGCTTCTGTCTAGACAACTAAAAATGGGTAATTTGGATTCATTCAAAATATTTAGGTATTCCTCTTTTTTGGATAAGAATTTGAATTATTCTTTCGATTATTTGCTAGATAAGTTTAATTATAAATTAAATGCGTGGAAAGCCATGGATTTAATTTGTCTCAAGATGGGAAGTTGGTTCTTTTAAAATCTGCCCTTCATTCCATTTCTAATCATGTCATGTATGTTGTTTCGCTTCTATTGGGCTTGAATGAAAAAATTGATAAAGTCCAGAGGAAATTTTGATGGTCTTTTTGAAAGAGTTCTAAAGGTTTTTCTTGGACAAATTGGAATCATATTTGCTCTCCTATTTCGTATAGGGGATTGGGAGTTCGGAAAGCTAATGAAATGAATGTTGATTTTCAATTAAAATTGGCTTGGATTTTTATAAACCAAGGTCATAGACTTTGGGTAAAATTGTTGAGAAGTAAATATGTGCATTCTCAGCATTTTTCCCTATAAATTGAAATCTAATTGTTCTAGAGTTTGGAAAAATATTTATAGATCTCTTCTTCTTTTTAGGCATAATTTAGTTTATAAGGTGTCTTTGGATTCTCATGAGAATATTTGGAATGCGCTTTGATCCAAATTGATGATAGTTTTACTACTCATGTTGGTCCTGTTATTTGGCAAAATGTAAATATCACATTTAATGACTGATAGAGGGTGATTTGACCCGATCCCTTGAGACGATGACACGTGGACATGACTCAGCACGAGCAACAGTTCAGCACCACAGCCTGACCGCAACTAAGTAACCAGCCCACAGGGCAGATCGCTACACCATAGCTCGCTATTAGGCGAGCTCGAGGTCCCCCAAGCTACTGAAAGGGAATACTCCAAGACAGGTCTATCCCAGCTCACGAGCTAGGGTAACCAGCTCGCTCCAACACTTTGGCGGAAAAAAATGCCCCAAAGGCAACCTTGAGAGGGGTCACCTCGAAGTACCCCAAGGAGCTCGCGACAGGATAGCTCGCTACACGACAGGATAGCTCGCTACAAGGTAGCTCGCGACTAAGCAACGCGATGCTTTCAGGAAGCTTCTATCTGACAAAACCGTACCCGTCAGACTGCGCCACGTCTCCTGACCGACGGCGCAGTCCCAACCAGTTCAACAGACTGCACCCACGTCTCTCGACAGATGGTAGCATGCCTGTCCTCCCGGGACGTGTCACTCATCCGGTTGGGTAGTGCCCTGCAACGGTTACCTGCGCAGCCCTGGCAAATAACGGCTGCGACAGAGGCCCAGTGGCGGTTACGCCCGATTTGACAAGAACGCCTATATAAGAGCCCCCTAGTTGAAGGGAAGGTCTCTCTCTCGAACATCTGAGATCTTATCTTGAACTTACTCGAACTTTCTCTCGAGCTAACTCAGTGATCTAGCGTGACCTGCACTCTTAGCCTTCTTTACACTCTTTACTATTTTTCCCAGTGTTCTAACTTAAGCATTGGAGTATTCCCACCAGAAAAGTCCCTCGGGAAATCTTCACCGTCTTCTTCTCAGGTGTCGTCCGTTGCCCGCAAGGAGCTAGTCAGCAGCCAGGTAGGAGTGCCCGGATTGCACAGCATCATTTAGCATCGTCTGTGGGAAATGCTTCAAAAAGCCTTCCTCTAAGCTTCTACAGTTTCCTTTTGAAAACTCAGCATTCATGGCCTCCTCTAGCAATTCCGGACATGGTGCCATCCAGAATGCTTCTAGGGAGCAACCCCAACTTCCCACTGTCTGTATTGGACAGTTCACCGTCCCCCTCTCCGTGGACGGAGTTCCCAGTCTGAGCGTGCCTCTCACAGTGGCACCCGCGATCGCTCCACTCCCTTCCACAGTTGGAGCAACCTTTGCTGAACCTTCAATTGTGCCCCCAGTGGCCAACCCGAACTAGTTGGAAGACTTAATGCAATGCATGCAAGCCATGCAAGCTCAAATGCAACAATTTCAGCAGTTCCAACTCTACCAACAACAAGTGTTGCATCAGATCTCCCAGTACCAGTACCAGCAGCAGTTTCCCTCCTTGCCTCAGGCCCAGCCGCCGCTTCCCCCTCGGCACTAGCGAAGACGCCGGAGAGCTCGCCGAACTGCTACCCGAGTCTCTCCCGAGCTCAGAGGAAAAGAGGAGGTAAGCTCAGGTGAAGTGAAAGCTACCCCTCTCCTCTCCGTTTCTTCCCCACTGTCTCCAGAACTCCTTGCTATCCCCATGCCAAGGGGCTTCAAGCTCCCTCCACTGGACAAGTATGATGGATTCATCGATCCGAATGATCACGTGGACGCCTTCCAGTCCCAGATGCACCTGGCAAGAGCCAGCTGTATGTGCGTGGCCTTTTCCACCACCTGGCAAGAGCCAGGCTTCAAGCACCCTGCATGTGCGTCGCCTTTTCCACCACCTTCAAAGGGGTAGCCCGCACCTGGTACCGAAACCTCGTGCCCGGTTCGGTAAGAAGTTGGGCGCAGTTCATGCAAGTTTTCACCTCCCACTTCGTCACCAGCAAGAGGTGCCCGAGAACTCAAGAAAGCCTCCTCGGCATAGTTCAAAAGGAAGGGGAGTCCATTCAGAGTTACATCAAGAGGTTCAACGACGCTTGTTTGCAG